CAGGAATTTAGTTGGAGGGAGTCCATATAACAAGCCCCTAATAAACCCCAAGAGCAGTTCAGCACTGGAATCCAAGGAATCTCTCACAAAAAGATTTCAGCCAGCCAGCCAGCACAGATCTTTCTGCCTCCCCCCACCCCCTACTATTCTAGGCCTTATGCCAAAGCCGCCCCCTCTTCCTGTGGCATCACACCCAGTGACCCTAGCAACCTTCCAAATCCCCTGTCTCTGTCACAGCTGCCAGGTCGTTTTGCATGGGCTAATTCCTCCGATGCTTGTATTTATTCTGTCCTATCCCAATAAGTAAAAAATCATACCATTTATTAATTTCTAGAGTTTAGGGGGGTCCATGGCCAGCCCATTTTGTGTGCTTAAGGGTGCATGAGTAATTTAAAATATAATTAAAAACACAAAGCTGAGTTGGGGGATTCTCTAAAAACTTAATGGGGGAGCAAGATCTCTTGGAATGTTGATGTTTTGAGTTCCCCCATCCTATGCTAAGGTTGTATATACAGTACACCACAGTGTTCAGTACCCCTCAGTCCAATGTAATAAGAAAAAACAGCTCCTTTTCCCTTATGGGGTATCCAAGAGCCCGTATAGAGTCCTGAAGTGGGTTCCCCATTGGTGGGAGAAAATAACAGAGGCCAACCAGAGTATACTGAGAAGCAAAGCAGCTAGTAAGCCTGATCTTTATTAAACTGTTGCAACAGGGTCCCCACTCACCACACACAGGAGGGAGGAGAACCCTGAACAATGGCACAGTCTTTAAATAAACTTTTAAAACCCTGTAGCCCAAGACCACCCTCTAAAACATACATACATCACAGAAGGAGGCGGTCTACAGCAGAGGATACAGTGGTGCCCCGCAAGACGAATGCCTCGCAAGACGAAAAACCCGCTAGACGAAAGGGTTTTCCGTTTTTCGATGCACTTCGCAAGACGAATTTCCCTATGGGCTTGCTTCGCAAAACGAAAAAGTCTTGCGAGTCTTGCGATTTTCCCCCCTTCCCCCCTTTTTAAGCCGCTAATAGCCTTTTAGCCCCTAAGCCGCTAAGCCTTTAATAGCCGCTAAGCCTTTAATAGCCGCTAATAGCGCTAATCCGCTAAGCCGCTAATAGGGCTGCTTCGCAAGACGAAAAAACCGCTAGACGAAGAGACTCGCGGAACGGATTAATTTCGTCTTGCGAGGCACCACTGTACCTGATAATGGTCATTGATTGCATTACCTGGGCAGTCTGGCCATTGTTTTGTTGTGGTTAATACTTTTATTCCTGAATCCAGGTCACAGGCTCACCCTATTCCTACACAAATACATCCTTAAGACAGGATTTGTAAGCAAAAATACACTCTGTAAGTTAGGTTTGTCTGAGGCACAAAGGAAAATTTGTTTCCGAAGGTTAATCAGGGGCCATGTATGTACGTTGATTTCCATTAACTTCATTATTATATAAATAAGTACAAATCCTGATGTGCTTTCTATTTTGCATCACATGTTTTTTGGCCCCGGGAGATAGTAGTTGAAAAACACCATAAATATCAATCAAATGCAATTTAAAAATATGTAAAAATTAAAAGTGTTCATCTACCAACAATGCAATAAGGAAATCTATCCTTCCCCAACTGAAAGAGGAACACAAAGACAGAACAGAGCTGTTCCACCCATGAGGCAAGGTGAGGTGACTGCCTCAGGCGGCAGGATGTACTGAGGCAGCAGGGGTCAATATTCTTCCTCCCTTGTCCCTGATGTACATCTTCCTTCACCCGTTCTACACTGGTGGAAATGGGGGGAGGGAGGCTATTCGGAGGCACACCTCAGATGCCAAAATGTCTCAGGCCATGAAACATGATGACCACCACAAACACCATGAACACATGGTATCACTGTTAAAAGACCTCCACTGACTTTGCCTCAGCCACGGGCTTGGTTCAGAGTTGTACTCAAGGTTCTTGTACTCGTGTACAAATCCCTGAATACTTCACATCCAGGATACCTCAGAGATAGCCTGAGGTATCCCTGAGGTCACTGGGGGAAGCATGGTTAATGCTTCTCTATGGACCACAAGTGTGTCTCGTGTCAACAAGGAGTTGTGCCTTCAGTGTTGTGGGCTCAAATCTATGGAACTTCCTGCCACAAGAAGTTAGGCAGACACTCTCCCTACTGAGTTCAAGAGGTCTGGTCAAAACTGTTTTTTTAAAATATATATATATATTTATTGAGATTTTCAAAAAAAATTACAAAATAAAAAGGGAGGAAAAAAGAAAAATAGAAAATAAAAATAGTTAAAAACAATTCAGTCTTTCCATCACATATTTTCATTTGCTTGTTTCCCGGACCTCCTCACACCTCCCTTTTCTGTATTCCAATTCAAATTGTTAATTCAGCAAATCCCTCCCCTCTTCAATCATCTTAATCTTCAATTTTTAAAAAATATTTTAACATTACATTTTTACCTATTAATAACCATTTTCTCATATTCTCTTATAGCATTACAGCCAAAGACCACTTAGTTTCTATTCAAGATCATTCTAACATTTGTTAATTTTACAATATTTCTGTAGATAGTCTTTAAATTTCTTCCAATCTTCTTCCACCAACTCTTCTCCCTGGTCTCGGATTCTGCCAGTCATTTCCGCCAGTTCCATATAGTCCATCACCTTCATCTGCCATTCTTCCAGGGTGGGTAGATCTTGTGTTTTCCAGTACTTTGCAATGAGTATTCTTGCTGCTGTTGTGGCATACATAAAAAAAGTTCTATCTTTCTTTGACACCAATTGGCCGACTATGCCCAAGAGAAAGGCCTCTGGTTTCTTCAAGAAGGTATATTTAAATACCTTTTTCAATTCATTATATATCATCTCCCAGAAAGCCTTAATCTTTGGGCACGTCCACCAAAGGTGAAAGAATGTACCTTCATTTTCTTTACATTTCCAACATTTATTATCGGGCAAATGATAGATTTTTGCAAGCTTGACTGGTGTCATGTACCACCTGTATATCATTTTCATAATATCAAAACTGTTTTAATTCAGGAGGCCTTTGCATCCTGAATGCTTCTCAGAAGGTTAAAATGGTCACTGTGTGATGGAAAAGTTTGTTTGCTGGGCACGTTGGGTCGCCAAGTGTTTTCTTTTTCTTTTTCCTGCCAGCAAATAGTTAACGAAGAACAGCTTCTGATTGGCCGGGGTTCCAGGGGAGGCAGTTGAAAAGGAGAGGGTTTTGTTTTGGGAGGAGAGACAGGTTTCAGGTTGGAGATAGAGAGTCCTGGTTCTGAGTGAAGTTAAACATACATACACTGAGGAGACTATCCATAGCGAGAGGACAGAGCCTCACAGCTTGGATAGGGAGACCAGGCTGAGGGTCTGGGGAAGGTATCCAGACAGGAGTGTCCTGGGAGGGCTAAGTCTGAGCCAGGAGAGGTAGATCCTGTGGGAATTCAGGCTACCTGAATTCATTTGTTTTCTTCCATCCATTGCCTCACCTGCAGATATAGAACTGTGATAAATGATGGTGTATTTCGCATCTTCTGTTGCTTGACCCTGGCTTAAGTTGGTCATCCAGTTAACCTTGTAGCCTTATCATATCAGGTATTGCCACTATGTTGTTTTGGGGGCTTCCAGGCAGCATCTAGCTGACCATTGTGGACACAACTATAAATTGGCCTTTGTCTGGATCCAGCAGAGCTCACTTTATGTCAACACCCAGAAGGTCAAATTCGAAAATGCTTGCTTGATACGGAAGGAGGAAGGGGGGGGGGCAACCATCCTCCCCGGTGTCAGGGCAACTCCGCACCCGGGATTTTTCCGTAACATTGCTTAAAGTTGGTTTGTCATAAAATCATTAAGGAGTTGCTGTAGGAACAATACAAACATTTGGGGTTTGCGAAAGTATTGCTATTTAGTATTGCTATTTATTGACCATCATGACTTATCTAACCTAATCTCAAGAGATTGTTGAATTGTGTGGTCTGAAAAGCTTCCACATGTGGTAACTAGTCCTTGAATCCATCAGAATGCTTTTTTTGAAATGTGCACAAACACTAGAACTGGAACATTTTTGTCTTAGATACTAAAAAGAAGCAATGAAGCAACACCACATATAAGACTGACACATAGAACTCATAGTTTGTATTAGTCCATGCCTAGGCCCTTGCTTCATAAGAAAACAATAATTAAATGAATTCATTTGAAACAACACTTATAAGTAAGTCAACTTTCCAGAGCAGTATGGAGTTGCTGTAAGAACAATACAAACATTTGGGGTATTGCTATTTAGATATTTGAGAACATGACTTATCTAATCTAATCTTGAGACATTATTGAATTGTGTGGTTTGAAAAGTTTCTAGATGTGGCAACCAGTCATTGACTGCATCAGGATGCTATATTTTGAAATGTGCATAAACACCAGAACTAGAACAACATTTTGTCTTAGATCTCTGCCCCTTCTTTCCTTGTCCTAAAAAACCCACCCCAACCCAGACTGAAAATCTGAATAAATTAATTTCAAATACTAGCTAGCAGGCTCTTATATTATGATCTATTCTGTGCTAAGCTGTTTAGAATAAAGGCAGGGTGAAAATTTAACAATAAATACAAATAAAACTGCTTTCTGTTATGCACTAAGAATATCATGAAAAGTGCTGTTAAGATTTTTTTTTTTTTGTCTTTCTGGGAAAGTACTGCAGGCACCCACATAGCTATGATTGCAGCTGTGTACAAAAAAAAAGCAGATTCCAGCTACTAGTTTAACGGTTAACCCTTGGAGTGCTGATGGAAAGTAATCATTCTTTACAATCTGTATCCTTCTTCTTGGGTTGAATGATGCAGCAAAGCCAAGGAAAGGCCTTATTAGCGCCGCCTACTTGCAAGAGTAAGATCACGACTCGTTCACAGTCTTTCACTCAAATTGTATTATTGCGTTAGTGTTACAAAAGCGCCCAGTCTCTCTCGAGATGATTGGCTTGCCTTCTCAGCCAATGCCAAGGCGGTCTGCCAGTATTTCCTGGCCCGCCTACCTTCTTCCTCTGTCTTGCGGTTCTTTGGCGCTGGGTAAGCATTTGTCGTTTGTGCTATCGAATCCATTCTTAATCGCAGGTTAGTTCTTGCCATCCGTTCTTGTAATGCCTTTGGAAAGAGTCACGGTGCGGGTGGGGTTGGGCTGCTAGATTTTTGTTTTCAGATCGTCTGCACTCTAGCATTAGTGCTCGTGAGTATGCTCTTCACTGATTTCAGTGGGGCTTGCTTCCGAAGCAGCATGGTACCGTCCGATTACTGCGCCATTGAAAGCGCTTTCGGTGCCGAGTATTTCCCCGTGAAAAAGATCCTAGTAGAAATCAAGGCTTGCTCTTCTGTTCCCTTCCGCAGAGAGCACGTGTTCGTTTTCTTAATTGCGTCGGTGTGATATGAAATGAATTGCGGGCTACATGTTGAAGACGAAGCTTTTAGGTTTGGTCCGGGGGTGGAAACTGGGCACGCTCGCTCCGAAGTAGTTTTCTTCTGGCCCATTGAGTTGGTAATGAGGAGGGGGAAAAACTTCACGGTGGGTCTTTTCAGGGGGGCAAGATATCTAGCAAAGTTTACTACACTAGGAAGCTTAATGCCATGTTTGGGTCCTATGGATGGGTGGTGTGAAAATGGTTTTAGTACAAAAATAGAATAAAAATAAGTGTGGGTTTGCTTAGGCCTGTTGTGAAGATGCTGCATTATAAACAATTCCCCAGAAATAGCAAAAAGAAGCCCAAAGGTTCTTAAGGCCTGGTAGGAGAAAAGGCAATTAAATCTCTGGCCTTAGAAGGCAGTATTTCTTAAGCCTTTCTATAGTCTTGTGTTCTTCCTCCACTTTACATTAATGACTTATTGGAGCCAAACCTCTCCGAATGAGAGTTGAGGCTTGCTTGTGTGCTCCCTTAATGCTTTCCCCTTCTCTCTTGCTTTCTACAGCCTGCGGAAAAATGGACGGCTCCTACCTGAAACATCAAAGCAGTGCTTCTGGAATGCACTCATCTGGAGTTAATCTTATGGTTATCCTTGCATTTGGGTAAGCCTTTTGTGAAGGGGAGTTCTTGTGCCTCTGGTTTTGCTCCGTGAAAGTATGTGTTTAATGCATTTATATATCACTGCATTTTCCAAGGAGCTCAAGGTGACATATGCTGTTCCCCCTGCCCCACTTTATCCTCGCAGCAACCCTATGAGGTTAGGCTGAGAGAGAGTGAGTGACCTTCATGGCAGAGTGGAGATTTGAACGCTTGTAACTCCTTGGTTTGGTAGGACATATGTAGTCCTAGGGATCTTTTATGCAAGTGTATTCTGTAAATACTACTTACTAAATTTGCATACAGTGGTGCCTCGCAAGACGAAATTAATTCGTTCCGCAAGTTTTTTCTTCTTGCGAGTTTTTCGTCTTGCGATGCACGGTTTCCCATAGGAATGCATTGAAAATCAATTAATGCGTTCCTAGGGAAACCGCTTGCCAGGCTGGCGGTGCGGAGAAGGGCTTTTCTCCCCACCGCAAGCCTTCAGGACAGGTACGGGAACAGAGGGGAAGGCGCGCAGCGCTTTCCCTCTGTTCCCGGGGCTTGTGTGGGAGGAGGGTTTTTCCTCCCCACCGCCAACATTCAGAACAGCATTCTGAATGTTGGCGGTGGGAAGGAAAACCCTCCTCCTACCCCAAGTCTTCAGGAAAGCCATCCGATGCCGGGCGGCGGGAGGAGGCTTCCCCCCCGCCCGGCATCGGAGCTTCGTTCCGATGCCCGGCGGCGGGAGGAGGCTTCCCCCCCCCCGCCCGGCATCGGAGCTTTGTTCCGATGCTGGGCGGCGGGATGAGGCTCCCCCCCCGCCCGGCATCGGAGCTTCGTTCCGATGCCCGGCGGCGGGAGAAGGCTTCCCCCCCCCGCCCGGCATCGGAGCTTCGTTCCGATGCCCGGCGGCGGGAGAAGGCTTCCCTCCCCCCCCCGCCCGGCATCGGAGCTTCATTCCATGCCCGGGAGAAGCTTCCCCCCCGCCCCATCGAATTCCAGAGGAGTCTGGGAAAGCCATGGGTGGAGTTTTGCTTGAAACATGGTTTTGGAAGGACAATCCTAGGGGTTTTTTTGCAGGCGTTTTTAGTACATATATCACCCTTCATTCGTAGATCTTCAGGGTGCGTTTGCCAACATAAAAATACAAGCTAAAACACAAAATGCATACATAATAAGGACAAAGAAAATCAGCAACTATCTTCAGAGGGCAGCCCTGCATATAAATAAGAATGGCGAATTGAACTTGCTTTTAGTACACATTCGTTTCCAGCATTTGCTGTGTACAAATGCCTGCACATATAGCAATGTGGTGAAAGGCTGAGAGGCACATAAAGATGATGTGGATTACTTTCATTTAAAAATACAGAATGGTAAAATGGAGAGGTTGGTTCAAGGTTTTTTTATTATTTTGAATAGAAGTTCTATGATAAAAAAATTGAATGTGTTAGTCTCATACCTAAAAGGGGGGGGGAGGAATAAACCCATTAGTTATGATGCTAAAAACCTCTAGCCTCATTAGACTTGGCCTGATTGTTAATAGCACATGTTTCTGCTGGAGAAGGGTATTTATTAATTTGCCCATGCTCTGCCTAACAGCTTCCAGTTTTCTGCTTCTCAGTATAGTAATTGAATTGTGTGCACATATTGCTAAGAAAAGGACAATATAATGATACATTGCCCATAACTGCAACTTTTAGGCTGACAAAAGTTATGTTCAGTTCATAATGGTTTTCTTTCATAGAGCATGGGTTTCAAGAAGCATCAAATATTTCTTCTGAAGAGTTCTTTGAAGGGAACCATTGCAGTCAGAGATGGGCTGAACAAATTCAGGAAATTCCTAGGATTTCTGGAAGTCATGGAGTTTGGTCCATTTGGTGATAATAAGAAAAAGGTATGATCTTGGTTTCTCTTGAAGTAAGTATTTGAGATATCTTGGTTGCTAAGTAGGAGATGGCAAGAGACTTGGGGAGCCTGTTATGATGAACTGCATGTTCTGTCCGTGTTTCACCTGATTAACCCTGATTATGCACATGCTCTGAGCGGATCTCTCCTTGGCACAAGTGATATTTCTATTAAAATGCTGATGAGTGTATGTCTGCTTAAGGATATTGTTGCCAGACACATGCAAACAGTAATAACAACTAGTGATTGTATTTCAGAGAGCATGTGTTTGGAGGAAAATGAACACCAAATACGTCTCCTGAAGAGTTGCATAGCGTGAACAGCTGTAATACAAAATGGACTGAACAAACACTGAAAATACTAGGATTTCTGGAAGTCGGAATTGATATTGAGAAAAAGGTATGACCTTGGTTTCTCTTGAAGTAAGAAATTGAGGTATCTTGGTTGCTAAGTAGGAGATGGCAAGAGACTTGGGGAGCCTGTTATGATGAATCGCATGTTCTGTCCGTGTTTCACCTGATTAACCCTGATTATGCACATGCTCTGAGCAGATCTCTCCTTGGCACAAGCGATATTTCCATAAAAATGTTGATGAGTGTATGTTTTCTTTTTGTTAAGGCCTGGTGTTGTTTAGATAACAGAAACAGCATAGTAACCTATTGCAACAATACTTGAATGACTTGTATAAAATATATGCCATTCTTGTTTTTATAGGGTCAACTAAATATATTTATCTAGGCATATTTGTGATGAACTCAAGAGTTACTTCCCCCAAAGTGTTAGGCATACTTCTCTAAAAATGGTTAAGATGGTCATTTATTTGGACCAATTAGATTAAATCTGATTGCAAGCTTTTAGTTGCTGATTTCTTCCTCAAACTGGAAGTTGTACCAGGTCATGGCCCTTAGCTCTTCTCACTTCCCCAAAACTTCCAAAATTTCTGCTGAACAGAAGCAAGAAGACCAAGGGGTGTAAGGAAAAAAGCATTTACGTTTTGGCTGGTGTTTGGTTCGTAGTGACTTATTTTCCTGCAGGGAGGAGGGGATCCTCATATGGGTTGTCCCTCCTACTCCACCAGACAGGAATGTGCAAAACTGGGTTCTTCCTATCTTGTGATAGGAGGGCGAACCCTCCAGTTTCCTGTGTAGGTCAGGTGACAGTGGTCTTCTCTCACCCTCTTATGAAGAGAGGTTGGGGGGTTTGCTTGATTTTGCACTGCTATGGGGGGGGGGGGACGACGACACCCAGTCAATAGAAATTAGACAGTGGAATAAAGTTTAAATTGCTTTGTATGGAGACATGACCCATTCCGTGGTAACCAAATTTTCTACAGTAGAGAGGGGAACAAGAACCAGTCAGATCTAAAGAAGGATGCTTGCTAACTAAATAGCTGCCACTCTTTTTATAGGGCTGATGATTCTAAAAGAGATGAAACAGCAACGGTGCACATTCCCCATCCTGAGCCTCTACAAAATGTAAGGACTGAAGCTTTTTCTCTTGCCACTTAGCAGAAGACATTTGCATCCAAACCACTGATTACTGTCTTGTAAGAAGTTGCTGTTTATATAGTAGAATTTATCTTTCATAGTATGAAATCTAATGGGCAGGATCCAAACAAACTAGATAGTGTCAGTGCCTCTAAAGCACCTTTGGCCCTCCAGATGTTTTCAGACTTCAGCCTACATGACCAGCTGCTAGGGACTATGGGAGTTACAGTCCAACATCCTCAGGAGGGCAACAGATTCTTTAAAAGGAGTGGATCATCAAAATAATAGTGGAAATTTGAAGTATAAATAGGGATGGGTGGAGCAGGGGTTGGTAAGTGTGCTCAAAAGTGTAAATGCATGATGACTGTTCCTCTTGCTGTCGCAAGCCATAGACGGTGAGATTTTGTGTCATCAAATATTAAAGCTGGCCTTTCTTCACTCAATGTGCCTTTGGATGGGTTGGCTGTCTGTTGGCACTATTGAATTTTGCGGGGCCAGACATTCTGAAAAATGCAAACGTGAAGCTTTAAATCATGAGTCAGCAAGCCAAAAGGAGTGTTTTTTAATGGAATAACTGAGCTGTGATTGCCTAGCTTTTTAACAGGAAGCTTGAATTTACATTTCTAAATGTTTAAATCATTTTCCACAGGTTTGTTGGACACAGGCATGAAAGTGAGAACAGTATTTCTCTGTTTCACCATGGAAAAAAGTGGTACAGAAGATGGATGAATTTGCTGTAACATGTGAAAACAAGATAGTGGCTCCTTACTCTCTTGAGTGTTATATGTGTGACCACCAACAATAAAAAAATTGTCCTAATAATTAAGTTGTAGCTCATTATCGTCCACATTTACTAAGTGGAGTATATGTTGAACACCTTTTGGAATTGTGTACAATTCATAATTAAGAAATGGTCGAGTTTCAGATTTTCACAAATTCTTTGCTAGAGTATAATTACATCAATATGGTTATGGAAAACAGCGGCACATATCTGAAGATGGGTGAACAAGTGTACATGGAAAATAGCTCCCTCTAGCACATGTTGTATCTTACTCTGAGAAAAAGCTGTTTTTCCAAAACCAACATTTGGAGATAAAAACGCCATCTTGATGCCATAAACCTTTGTACACCCTCACCCAAAATACATAGTTGTGAACAGGGTGCTTTCTTCTTTACAAATTCACAAGTCATTGCAACTTTGAAAACAAAGGACTGTTCCAGTGTTAGTTGTACTCAACCAGATCCATTGAAATTATTAGACCTTAATCAGTTACGTTCCTTAATCTCAGTGGGTTTTCTCTTGAATATAACTTAGTGTAGCCAATCACAAAGTTTTCATCTAAGTTGACACTTTAGTTTTAGAGCCTTCTCAAAGCATATGACATCTTTTATAGTTGTGACATCTTTTCAATATTCAAATTAACAAAGTCTATTAGAGATACAACATATCAAGTGGCTAGTTAAATAGTCTACCCTTTAGTTGAGACACAAACCTTAAAAGCCATGAGAGGGGAGAGGACGGCTATACAGGTTTGTAGCAGGATAGGATTCGTCTAAATGGAGTCAAGTTAAATTTTAAGTGTGCAGCTGAAATAATGTTCCTGAGAGAACCAAGGAAACAAGTTGGAATTGCAGCACACAGCGTATTTACCTAGTGTTAATGGGTTGGTGAAAATACAAACATGGCTTTTGCTCGGTGTGCTGAAATGCAGTGTAATTTTTCAGTTTTATTTGGATGGGAGCAATGTCACCTGCATATCTAAAATAAGCCTTTTAAAAACTGAAAGGGTCCATGATTTGTTAAAAGTCCAAACCACAAATATTCCACCGTGAAGAGTTATCAATTTTTATAAGTTTTCAGCCATTTGGTACTGCAATTAAGAGGCTTCACGCATACTGAAACAGACACAAGAATCCAGTCTTCTGAATATTACCAGCCATGGGCTAAAGCTATAGCAAAAGGGTACATAGCTTTGCCTGGAATAAAAGCATCAAAAATAGGCTGTGTATATACACGATACCTTTACAGCTCATAACATTTTTTTGTGACTTGCAAATGGTGATTTTCAGTACAGTACTAGAACTGGGAGGTGCAAAGAGATGTTGTGAATACAGAGTTCACTTTGAAAAGGGCTGATGTGGGGACAGGAAACTTCAAACTTATTTGTTGGATGTAGCTTCTATTGTGTTACATAAAAAATACTAGGCTCGGGAACAATTCTGATGGACTTTGAAAACTTGCACTGGTGATTTGTTTTTGTCTGATTAATAAAGTTATTTTACTGTCCTTTCCAGACAATGGTTTTTTGCTTGAAGTTGCCTTAAATGGATTAAGTACTGCATGGGTGCGAGAGAGGCAGTGACTTAAAACACTCTTCACTGCCTAGTTATTCTTAGTACTGTATATAAAGCAGAAATGGAGCAACCACACTAAGCTGGGATTCATAGGGGTGGGGAGCGTGCGTGAGGGCTGTGTGTGTGTGTGTGTGCGTGCGCAATCCAACCATTTTTTGGTTGTTTGCAGAACTCCAGCTTGCAACTTTTATAATTCACTGACTGGCACGTGAGGGGCATTGTAATTTTTGTGACGGGGACGTGGAGAAGTCCAGCTTTAAAACACAAACACGACAGTTCCGTGCTTAACTCGCTTTTCTTTCCGCCAGCGATATGCCCCTGGCGATTCGCATTCCTATACACTTCCCCCCCTCTCCCGCCCCTTGCCTTCTTTAGCGCCTCAGGGGAAGCGTTGGCAAAAAGAGCTGGAATTAAAAGTAGGTTTGAAGAGCAGCGCGAGCTCCGGCCGTTGGAGACGCGGGGGGCGGGGGACCAATCAAGAGGCGGCGCGTGAGCATCTTCTTTTCCAACCTCGGCGTTCTACACATTTTCCCGCCTTTTCTTCGCTGCCTATTCCCCCTCCCCCATCGCCCATCTTTTTGACTCCCATTTGTAAATAACTGCCTCACAAGCCTGCGCACTCATGTCAGTAAAATACCTCGTTCGAAAGAGTTCAATATATTACGTCACAAAAGCATCAACTTCCGGGCTTTCTTTCTTTTAAAACAACAGGGTTTTGTTTGTTTTTACACCCCGCCCCCCCCCCGCCAAAAATAGCTACTCGCTGAACTTTTATTGTTTACTCAAGAGTGCCACTTTTTGTTCACACCGTGACAGCTGTGTGGGAGGCTGAAGTACATCTGGTTAATCTTATCTAGTCGATGGGCTTCCCAAAGGCATTTTCTGGTCGGCTGCTGTGAGAAAAAGGATGCTGGACTAGACGGGGCTGCTTGGTCTGATCCAGCAGGATTTTATGCTCCTTGAAGGGAAATTTAAAGTCTGTTAAATTTCTGGGACTTGCCTCCCACTATAAGAAAAAAGAACAATGGGTAGTGTTTTAGTATTGAACTGATGTGTTGCGAATAAAAAGTGGGCTTAATGTGTGTGTGTTTTTAAAGTATATAAATATTATTAAAAAATCCTCTGTGGATGGGCATGGGGTGTGGAGGGTGAAGAGCATCCTTTCCTTCAAAGAATTCTGGGCACTGTTATTTGTTGGAAAGTGCAACTGTAGGGAAAAGCGCAGTGCCTAGAATTCTTCAAGGAGAAGAACAACAGAATTGCAGAGTTGGAAGGGACAGTGTGTTTTGAATATGCTTTAAAAGGTGAACTGGATGATTGGTCTCTTGGCTGTTTTGCACTCCTTGGGCTGTATCTACTCAGAGTAGGCCCACTGAAATTAATGGAACTTAGTATGGGTTGTATCCAGTGCTTTCCCCCCTAGAAAATTGGTGCCTGTACTCGCCATGAAGTTGTTACATTAAGTGTCACACTTTTTAACCAAAGAGGCTAAAAGGAAGTGCCGGTACTGCGTACCTTTGAGTAACCCAATGAAAAGAAAGCACTGGTTGTATTCAACATTGTTGTTCTACTTGTGCAACAAAACTTCCATCTCCTCAGCAGCCCCCTGTGCACCCTTAAAGCCCGTTTCGGAGGATCTCTGGAGATTTTGGGGGTGCATGAGAGGAAGGGGAAGTCCTATTGCATGAGTGGAACTCGACAGATACAACCCTTGATCCATTAGTTTCACTGAGATTATTCCAAGTCTGAATAACAGATACAACTCCTTTTGCGATTCCACCCCCCCCCCAAATTGACAATATATTCCCCCTTTAGAACTCACTGACAGTAAAGAAAGTACTACGGATTGTTTTTTCGTACAGTATGTCAAAGTTGCAACATACTTTACAGTCTTACTGCTTTCATTGTTGTAACAATCCTGTGAAACAGGACAAAATAAATGCCATGTTACAGATGGGGATCTTGCTGAGGCAGAGAAAATGACTTGCCTAGCATCCTCCCTAAAGTCCATGACAGAACTAGTACTATAAAAATGATCTCCTACAACCAAGTCTGGAAGACATGCTTCAGTACCCAGCACATAATTTATGGAATTTGCTGTCACATGATTTTTATTTATTGATTTAGATGTGGCAATGGTCACTTGTTTAGATGAGCTTAGACACTGGACAAATTTATTGACTGTCAAAGGCCATGATAGCTGTGGGCAATATGCCACTGAATTCAGGTGGCTGGGGGTGAGCTACTGCATGGATTCAAAATGCAATAGTAAAGCCTGAGTCAATAAAAAATGTCTTAATGTGGTGCTGAAAAAGGCACCAGACATCTTTTGAGGAGGCTATTCTGTAGCTGAGGTGTCACCACTGAATAGATCCTGTCCTTGGAATCCATCCAACTCACTTCAATTAGGGGATCCAGGAGCAGGGCCTGAGAAGACTATCTTAAGGTTCAGGTAGACATATACAGTATTGTAATAGGAGGAGGCAATCTTTTAGGGTAATCTGAATTGCAGATCTGCTAAATGAACATATAATGATCTTAAGTCCAGTTCTCCGCCAGGCAGCCATAGCCTATAAGCAATTTGAAAATCCTAGCATTAATACTTATTTCATTTTATAGGTGTGGTATGGTGAGCGCTACCTTTCCATCGCATAAAAAGTACTTGTAAAACTTTTGCACTGGCTCCATCAAACATGTCAGTCTGTGAGGATATGCTTCTTTGCAATTACCGCAAATGCCGAGTCAAACTTTCAGGCTACGCATGGGTCACAGCCTGCTCACATATTTTCTGTGACCAACATGGCAGTGGGGAATTTAGCCGCTCGCCTGCAGTCTGCCCTGCTTGTACCAGTGCTCTTTCTGGTAAACTGGATATTGTTCGAACAGAACTCAGTCCTTCTGAGGAATACAAAGCCATGGTCCTATCAGGACTGCGACCAGAGATTATTCTGGACATCAGTTCCAGGGCTCTGGCTTTCTGGACATACCAGGTAAACACTCCTTGAACAGGTTTCCACCAATGGAATTTTAAGGTTTTGAAAATTTAGCTGTACTCTATCTTTTCACTATCAAGAGGAGATTGCAGATTGGGGTGGATTTGTAACAGAAAAACCAGACATAAAATAGTTAAGAAACTACCTTTGGCTAATTAAACAATTTATGGCCTTTTAAACTCTGTGTTGGGGGTTATTTCTTTTCTTTTCTTTTCTTTCTTTTCTTTCTTTTCTTTTCTTTTCTTTTCTTTTCTTTTCTTTTCTTTTCTTTTCTTTTCTTTTCTTTTGTTGTTTTGCTTTGTTTTGTTACTATGTTATGCATGTTTGTGTTGTGTAAACCACCCTGTGATCCTTAGATGAAGGAGGTATAGACATTAAATTTACTACTGCTACAGTCAAACCTTGGTCCCTGAACGCCTCCGTTTTGGAATGTTTTGGCTCCCGAACGCCTAAAACTCAGAAGCAACTGCTCCGGTTTTTGGAAGCTGAACGTGTTACGTGACTTCCATTTTGAGTTTTCTTATTTTATTGAGGCTTCCGCTTCAGTTTTCAGTTGTCTAACATTTCAGAAGTTGAACTGTCTTCCAAAATGGATTACGTTTGACAACTGAGATTTGACTGTACTACTACTCCAGCCTCCAATCTGCTCAACTTCTGCTAGAGATTTCAGCTGAAAGAGAAAGGAAGAAAAATAATGAGGAAGAATAAAAGAATCAAGGGAGGGGGGAATACATCGAGCACATATTGCTCAGCCCTGACATCACAGTGGCTCTTATGCTCCTGCTTACTCTATCTTCTATCCTTGCAGGTTCATCAGGAGCGCTTATACCAAGAATATACCTACAGCAAGGCAGAGGGTCACTTGAAGCAGATGGAGAAAGTCTACACCCAGCAACTCCAGAGCAAAGATGTGGAGCTGACTTCCATGAAGAGTGAGGTCTCCTCCCTAAAGAAAGTACTGGAAGAATACAAAAAGAAATTCACTGAGCTCTCAGAGAAACTCATGGAGCGCAATCGGCAGTACCAGAAACTGCAGGGCCTCTATGACAGCCTACGCTTGCGCAACATTGCTGTGGCCAACCAGGAGGCAGGCCAAGAGCCTCCTATCCAGCCTGTATTTGGTTTCTCTTTGGGTAAGGACAGGGGCCTTTCAGTTGGGTAGTTAAACTTGTACTAGCATACTCAGTGCAATTAACTTTTTTCCCACAAAGAGCAATATGAGAGAAACATAGGCCTGATGGGGAAATCCTATGTATATTAGAAAAGTATAGTTTTGCCCCCAGACACATGGAGCCGCTTAGAGTGGCTGGGGCAACCCAGTCAGATGGGCAGCATATAAATAATAAATTATGATGACAATGGTGATGATGTTACCAACTCATTTCTTCTGTCTCTCCTAGCAAAGCAAATGGAACTTTGCCCAATTTTTGTGGTTAATTTCTTGAGTGCCACACCTCACTGAATATGCCCTAATCATTTCCTTATCTCCACTATACATTTAAAGCAGGATCTTGCCACTTTAAACTGCCATAGCCTCCTGCCTCAATTTCTGGGAATGGTAGTTTGTAAGGAGTCAAAAGGAGATTCCTAAATTTCCCTCACAGAGCTACAATTCCCAGAGAGGCTTAACAATCAATCCATCAGTCTACTCTACTACTCTAGTAAAACTGTAGGCATATATTGAGTATTCTCTGTGTTAACATACTACTGTGGCTAATATTGGCTTACTTGTAGATTAAATCCCCCTAATACAATATCTCTTGTTCACATGTTCTAGGTAATGCTGCCAGGTTCTCTGAGAATGCAACACCTATCCAGGACTGGCGTGGTGATGGGGACTTCCATTTCAAACCCTTCTTTGCTGCCTCTCCACCACTGGGCCAGTCTGGCAACAGCTTCTTTACCTCTCCTGGCAATGGTTTGGAACAGCAAGCAGGAGGCAACAAGGCATATAAAATTAAGAGAATATAAATTGTAATTTACGTTGACAAGTTTAGGCCTTTTTGAATATCCAGGTTAGGCATGAAATGCTTGTTGGACTGAAATGCTCGTTGCAGACTTGAGGCTTTTAAAAGAACCCACAGGCCAGATCTCAGTGAAGTCTAATGTGCGTTAAATTTCCTGAAATCTCAGAAGTAGCAAATTTTAAAGGAAGAGAGCCTGCAGTGAGGACTAAAGGAGTAAATGCTCCAGTTAAAACCAATTCCTTTCTAAGCTTCTTTCTTTCTCTCAGCAGAGTGTTCCAGTTGTTGCTAATGGTTACTATAGCCACCCGCACCTCTAGATACTGTTGCATATATGCTGTCATTGTTCCATTACTCAGCAAGATTAATTCCTGCCCTGCAACATACGATTATGACTCTGGCTCTCACACAAATTATGATTCCTTAAAGTGAAATGTGAAAGCTTGCTTCACCATGTCATTTTTTTCTGGCACCAAGGCTGCAATCTTACATATACTTACCTGGTAATAAGGTCTATTGAACTCTGTGGTGTCTGGGTACAGATGTTCAGGATTACAGCCTAATTGTTTAATTACTATATTGTTGCAACTAATGTGTTATGTGATCTTTCCTCCCGATTATTGCTTTGAACTGCCACATTTGTGTTGTAATGTAATGGTCCTTTTTTCTCCAATTACGTGCATAAACATGTTTGCAAGCCTGTGTTTAATTTGTTCACTGCTTATTGAAACAGGTGGGGTTGAGGTTTTTTGTGGGGTGGGGAGGAAAAATCTAATATGCCTGGTGTGTTTGCCTCTGATTAGTGTGCACACACTTTTTGTTGGTACATACCACTATGAGCAGTTTTTGCTGTTAGAACTTAGGGTTGTAGCCAATGCTAGTCCTACTTAGAGTAGAATAGACATGACTAACAGGTTCATTAATTCAAATGGATGTACTCTGAGTAGGACTAGCATTGGATACAACCTAAGTTCTAATAGCTTTTTAAAGTTAGTCATTTTAAAACATGCTTCCTCAACCTCAGCCCTCCAGATGTTTTGAAACTACAATTTCCATCATCCCTGACTACTGGTCCTGCCTAGCTAGGGATCAAGGGAGTTGTAGGTCAAAAACATCTGGAGGGCCGAGGTTAAGGAAGCCTGTTTTAAAATTTTAGGCATTTACTAGACTTCAGATGAGTTTGTATTGCTCTGCAAATCAGATAATTGGATCCTTCCAGCCCCTTTGATTCTATGCATTTTACCTGCATTAATCACCATTTGATTCTGTATTCACACTTCTGATGTCACCCTCACCATATATAGAATGGAGTGATTAAGATGCATAAAGGGTAACTAGTCTGTATTACCATAATTACAAACATCCATTTCTTGGGAAAGAAAGCAGAGGAGGAATGCAAAATAAAAATAAAATTTCACTGAGCACCCAAACACAACCTGTTTCATGATTTTTGCACAAAACCATTGAAGTTAATGGGTTTAAGCATGCCCACCTATGCAAAGGATTGGATTCTGTCTTGCTAGTGAAAACATTTTAATATGAAATATAAATACAGCATGTAATTTCATGGCATTTGTATCGCAGAAACCTGTAAGCAATTCACATAAGATACAGCTGAAAATACACAAGTAAAAATATGACAAGCTTCCTTTTGAATAGCTGCAGCTTCGTCTTTCAGAAACAGTGTCTCAGAGCACGTACAGAATATTTTCCATTGGGCAGGGAACAAGCTGTTTTTATTTTATTTTAACGAATATAAGGAACGGCTGTTATCTTTCAAAACACCATCGCTATGAAACAGCATAAGAAAAGAAGGTACATCTCTGTCACGCAGGTGTAATGCAAAACATTTATTTAAACACGGCCAGGATGATTCCTACTGCTTCCAGGAAGAATGGTCGATTCCTCTCTTTGTGGCTTGCAGTTTGGCCTCCAGTCCTTTAGATGTCTCTGCAGGAGCCTCCGTGGTTGCAAGCAAAGAGAATAACAGGAAACGGAGGAGAGTCTCGAGCGATCATGGCTGAGGAAGAAGAAGAAAACCCCCAAGCTCGGCAAGGTTTGCAGGTAGGGCGAGCAAAACATCTCGCCATGTCATAAGCCTATCTGTTTTTCTTCTTCCTCTGACCTCTGCTAAAGTCAATATATTATCCGAACAGTTTCCTCGCCCCCCCACCCGAGTTGGCAAAACATGGAAGCAGCAGCCAGGAGTTCCATCCTGCTCCGTGCAGGTGTTTCAACTGTGTCAGGATCCACCCGGATCTCATTTTACTGGGAATATGCTGCCGAATATGCTTCTCCAGCAGGAACCCCCCCCCCATTACAATACTTCAAGCGATGAGGGAGGAGATGTAGCTAGAGGGGGAGTGGAGGAATGTGGATGTGGAAACCATGCAGAGAAGGGGGTGCAACCTGCTCCTTCTTTTGACTGCATAGGATTCTGCCCGTTCTTCTTTGTACTTCGGTTTTGCTCGCCCCTCAAGCCACTGAGGACCAGGACTCGTAGCACGTTGGCGGGGGGGGGGGGGCGGCGGCATCTAGTCCAATTCCCTGAGGGTCATTTATTTCAACCCCTTATCACTTTCAGAGCTTAGTTATTGAAATCAAGGGTGTGGAGTGCTCAGCCATGTCTTTAAAAGTTGGGGGGTTTTTTGGCTCGTGCCTGAGCAACTCTAGACTGCTGGAACCTGGAAACGAACAATATTGAATGGAAAACTAAAGACACCCCATTTTGCACAAATTTCCCATACATGCTTCCTTTGGCATCCGTTAACCACCATCAAATGTCAAGGTAGTGATAGACAAGTGTGTGTTTAGCTTCTGTTTTCGGTGCATTCTGTGTATCGGCAAGATGTTGTTGCTCTGGTTTGATGGTAACGTTCCCTGTTTGGCGATTTCCTGATAGGAACTGGTTGACCAGCTATATCATTTCCGAGACCATTATTTTGAGAGCCACAAGGTGGAAGATGCTGGGAAAAAGCAGCAGGATGTACAGGAAGAGATGGAGAAGACTCTTCAGAAAATGGAAGCATTAGAAGGTAAATCTCAACAGAACCAGCATTCTCCTTTCTCCAACTTGTATACCATTCCTCCTCCTCCTTCCTCATATGCTGTGAGGCTCTGCAGGTGTCCTTTTTATTGTGCATTCCTGATTATTTGTGCTCCTGGTGGCATTAGGGTGGTTATGTATGATCCTGTTTAGGAAAGTTTGTAATGTTTGATATCTTGCCGTGTTTTTAATATTCTACTGTGAGCCTTCCAGAATGGCTGGGGAAACCCAGCCAGATGGGCGGGGTACAAATAATAAAATTATTATTATTATTTCTTTTGGATGAGCTCGGTGACTGAATTTCTAGCACAGTGTGGATTTCATGGACTTGCAGTTCACTTACGGCATCTCTCTTTCTCCCATCCTCTGCTAGGCCTGTCTAAGGGTCGAGCTCACACACTGATGCTGAAGGGGAAAGCCTTGAATGTGTCCCCAGGTTATAATGCCCAGGCTGAAGAGCTGCTCTCCAAAGCTGTCAAGCTGGACCCAGAACTGGTAGAAGCCTGGAATCAGTTAGGGGAAGTTTACTGGAAAAAGGGTGATGTCTCTGCTGCCCACACCTGCTTCTCTGGAGCGCTTAGCCATGTAAGTTTCGTGGATGGTTTCGTGGGAGCCGATTGAAACTAAATCCTTCGAAGACAGAGGTCCTATGGCTGGGTCGGGATGGCATGGGGATGAGGGACCAACTCCCTTCTCTTGCGGGGGCCCAATTAGTGCCTTTGCCTTCCGTTAAGAGTTTGGGTGTAATCCTTGACGCCTCCCTTTCCATGGAGGCGCAAGTTACAGCAACAGCCAAGGCGACATTTTTCCACCTTCGCCGCATCAAGCAGTTGGTCCCTTACCTTTCCCGCCCCGACCTGGCCACAGTGATCCATGCGACGGTCATCTCCAGGCTTGACTACTGTAATTCGCTCTACGCTGGACTGCCCTTGGAGCTGTCCCAGAAACTCCAGCGGGTACAGAATGCTGCAGCGAGGCTCCTCACGGGGTCTCTGCCATGGGAGCATATTCATCCAGTGCTTTTCAAGCTGCACTGGCTCCCGGTGGAGTACAGGGTCAGATTTAAGGTGCTGCTTTTGACCTTTAAAGCCCTTCACGGCCTAGGACCCTCGTACCTACGGGACCGCCTCGCCTGGTATGCCCCACGGAGAGCCTCAAGGTCCATAAATAACAACACCCTAGTGGTCCCAGGCCCTAAGGAAGTTAGATTGGCTTCAACCAGAGCCAGGGCCTTTTCAGCACTGGCCCCAACTTGGTGGAACGCTCTGTCTCATGAGACCAGGGCCCTGCAGGATCTGATTTCTTTCCGCAGGGCCTGTAAGACAGAGTTGTTCTGCCTGGCCTTTGGCTTGGAGCCAATTTGATTCCCTCCCCCCCTTTTCTTTTTTCTTTTCCTTCTCCTGCAATGAGGCTACATTTTAATATTTTAATGTTCCATTATTTTAATGTTGTATTTTATTTTTGTTTTTAAGTTGTAATCATTCATCTGGTTTTTATTATTGCTTGTAAGCCGCTCTGAGCCTGGCCTTGGCTGGGGAGGGCGGGGTATAAATAAAAAATTATTATTATTATTATTAAGTCCCCCCTCAGTCCTCCCTTGGGCAGGCGGTGATTCTAGTTTGGAGAGCTGCTTGGCACTTCAAGCCAGGACTATTAAGCCAAAGGACATACCTCAAGGAATACTTTGGGGAAGTGAGAGTCATATTTTGCATTTCACTAGGTAGGATTTGAATTCTTGCTAATTGCAGAAGCCTTGTCTTTCTCCTGCCCCTTTTCTCTTCAGTGCAAGAACAAGGCCTCCCTGCAGAATCTCTCTATGGTGCTGAGGCAGCTGCGCACAAACTCTGCTGATGAGCATGCACACAACGTGATGGACAGTGTGCGGCAAGCCAAGCTGGCGGTGCAGATGGATGTGCGCGATGGCCGCTCCTGGTGTGAGTCTGACATGCGCCCCTTTTCAGGTGGTCCTGAGGTGGGATGGGATAGAGCAAGGAAGGGAACTGGCTGTGCAACTTGCTAATTATGCTCTCTGTATTCCACAGATGTTCTGGGCAATGCCTACCTCTCCTTGTTCTTCAATTCAGGGCAGAACCCCAAGATCTCCCAGCAGGCGCTGAGTGCCTATGCCCAAGCAGTAGGTGCTGGAGGGGACTCTAGAGGAAGCCTGTGGTATGGTGGGGAGGAGGGGGTTGGGGGCCCAGGTTAAGCCTCTTCTACATTGCCAGGAGCTGAGGTGGAAATGGCTAGTTCTAGGCGGCAGATTAGAGGGCTGGTAATGGAAGCAGGGAGACCCAGTTTCAAATCCTTCCTTGCCTGCAAAGCTTACTGGGTTACCTGAGCAAGTTGCACTCTGAAGGGGTGGAACAGGCTAAGTCACTTCTGACTGTATGCAGGGAGATGCATTTTCTAATGTTCTTCTAAGTAAAACCACACAAATAAAATAAATAGCAAACCCTCTCTCCAAGTGAGAAACTTGCACAGCTGGAGCTATAATCTTGGCTATAATCTTTTCATGGAATGCTAGTTATGTAACTGTTTTAATTTATTTTTTAGATTGATACCCACTTTTCTTCCTAGAAGCTCAAGGCAGTATACACGGTTCTCTTTCCCACACCTACCCAACTTCCCATTTTATCCTCACAACAGTCATGCGAAGTAGGTTAGATAGTTTCTGGCCCAAAGTCACCCAGAGAACTTCATGGCTGAGTGGGGATATGAACCTTGGTCTCCTCCGTCCTAGTGCAACACTCTAACCACTACAGCATACTGTCTGTCTACACAGGCAAGGATACTGAAAGGGCACCTCCTGTCTGCAGGTTGAGGTGGCATTTCGGCATTCTGCCACTTCCTTTTGCTGCATATACATGCCTGACCTCAATCTAGTCTACCTAACCAACTTGCTGTAAGGCAAAAATGAGATACACATGTTGTTTTTAAAGGTCCCTCCTGTTTCATAAATTGCTTTGATATTTCTAATGTAAAGCAATTAATGCATTTTGCAAAATAAAATAAATATGTTGCAGTTTTCACTAGCATAAGTTTGCCATGCTCTTGGGAAGTTCTCATACCGAGGATGATGAGGATATTCACCTCCTGTTATTTTTTAGCATCTGACAAAAGACGTTATTTGGAGATAAGAGCCCAAAGGCTGGGTCATACCAAAGGCCTATTGGGTTCAGCATTTTGTTCTCATTGTGGCCAGTTATGCCCACGGAAAACTCATAAGCAGGGCATGAGCGCAATTGTGCTTGTGAACCCTAGCAACTGGTATTCTGACATCAGCCTCTGAATCTTAATATATAACCATCATGACTAGTACCCCCTGAGATCTGTATTCTCCGTGAATTCTTATAATCCTGTTTTAAAGCTAAATTGGTGCCCGCCACTACATATAATAATAGTGAGTATCAAAGTTTAACTATGCAGTCTGTGAAGAAGTTATTTTGTCTGTCCTGAATCTGCCAATATTCCTCATCACTGGGTGACCCTGGGTTCTAGTACTGTGTGTGTGAGAGAGAAAAACCTCTATCCACATTCAGATCACGGTGCATAATTTTGTGCTCCCCTGCTTTGAATAGAATAGAGGCAGACAGTAGTTGGTGTAGAAGAATGCCTGGTTTTCTAAATCGTAACTTTGTGGCATATCTGTAAAGTGGTTCTTGCTCAGCTCAGCTGCTGTCCCCAGCTGGACCCACCAACATAGTGGAAAAGTGCAAGAGATCAAAATGAAGGCTAAAGTTGCCCAATA